CTATTTAATTTAGTTGCTTTTTTTCCACAATAATATCCTGTCAACACTACAGAGATTAGGTAGCTTTACTGCCTTCTGCTATCATTACCTTTCTGCTTTGAACTTGAATACTGTCCCTTCCCTGTCTTGTTACTTCTGCTGTATAAAAAACCCCATAAAGATTGCATCAGTTATAGCATACTCACCTTGCAGGAGTTCACTAAGGATATAAGGATTAGCATGATAGATGGTTGAGTCTTAAATGTGTCCCTATATACTTCCTCCTTATCTGCACTAGAGACAGATGGACCATGTGATCTTAACAAAAGATTTTGTGCAGTTTATCCAGTTTTAATACTAGATAAAAATTTGTACCCCCGTCATTTCATGAAGAAGCGGCTTGCAGCGTGAAACGCATAGAAGACATACTTTTTCCGGATCTTGTCTGGCACAACATATGATAAATACAATTTAGTTAATGTAAAAATAAGGGACAACATTTTTTTCCATAATTCTCCTCAGGATCACGGGAGGACATATACTGTGTCCTCTCATTGCCCCCTACATGCTGAGAGCATTGCAGCCAGGTTGGATCCTGATAATCAGGGCCGGATTTATTCCCCCTGCCTCCCCAAGGCCAGGTTCCAAAATACGCCCCCCCCTCCCCATTGCGGACCGTAGTGTGCGGCCGCCGGCCGGCGGACACCTTACATCGGCGCCCGCAACTTCCCCACAAGGCCACCGCTGCTGCCACTCTGCGCTCTGCCGCCCCGAGGCCGGGCCTCGTAGCCTTGTGGGAAATCCGGGCCTGCTGATAATACTGTCGGGATCCACCCAGCTGGCTGATTGACAGCTGGCTTTGCCCGCCCCCTCCCCCATTCATCCCTCCAGTCAGCGCTGGAGGAGAGGGGAGAATCCCTACAGGGAACGGTGACTGACAGATTATCGGGAAGTGAGCTTACTTCTCGATCAATAGAGTCGACATGTCACACGTCGGCTCCAACTATGGGGATAAGTGCATTTCACTCACCTTATAGTTCTCCTTTAAGAGATCTGTAGGATTTATGGGTATCTTTCCAAGACAAAAGGATATTTGGCCTATAAGTATTTTATATTGTTTTTAATAGGAATGCACCGATACCGGTATTTCGATATCGAGTACCGATATCTTTTTTTGGTACTGGCAGATACCAAGTACCGGAAGCCCCATTCGGGAAGCCAGGCGGCGTGTAATGACTCGCCACCTGGCTTCCTGATTAGCCGGAAAGCCAGGCGGCGTGTAATGACTCGCCACCTGGCTTCCTGATTAGCCGGGAAGCCGAGCAGCGTGTAAAGACTAGCCACCTGGCTTACCGATTAGCAGGGAAGCCATCTCCGTGCTTCTCGTCACTAGGTGACGTGCTGCTAGGCTTCCTGATACCGAAAGTATTCTGCTAGGCATCGGAGCATTTGGGCGAGTACGAGTACTCTTATCGTTGCATCCCTAGGTTTTAACATTGTTCATGTTTCTCTTTATGTGTAAATACAGTTTATTTGATTGAAAAAAAATATTTGGTTCAAGTTTGAGGTACTTTGAGGGCTTGTTCACACAGAAAGCGTGTGCGTTCCAGAGCGGTAGCTGGTGGAACGCATCGCGATCGCTAAGAAACTTCCCCCCGCTTTTTCTGTGGGGGGGGGGGGGGGGGGCGTGGCGGTGCATTGAATTCAATGGCACCGCTTCCACGCCCCCCCTGCCCTCCCGTTCCGTTCCACTACAAACGCAAAATAGAGCAAGCCCTATTTTTTGCGTTTGCAGTGGATTCAATGCACCACCACACCCCCTCCCGCCCCAGAACGCGGGGGGGTGTTTCTTATCGATCACGGTTTCGGTGTGAACAAGCCCTAAAAGTCAGCAACCTTCTACCCTTTTGTAATTGTGCATCCCCAGAATTATATATTTTCTGAAAGGAAAGACCCTGTAGAATAAAATGATGGCTGTTGCAATTTTCGTATTAGAACAGTGCAACTGTTCACCAAACCCACATTTTCAGTAAAAACAACCTTTAATATTGGCAATATTGGCCATAAAATGGCAAAAACTGTCCATAGGCGACACTTTAAAAAGGAACCTTACCCAGATCTTCAAAATAACAACAAAGGCACCTTTAGAAATGTTTACTAATGACAATCTACAAGCACATACTTATAGATAATATATATATATAGATAATTGCATACTTTTTATTCTCTACATACCTTATTTTTCATTTATTCCGTCTCCTCACAGTGGCAGATTAATTCATCTCCCTTTACTTCCTGGAACTCTGGTACATGTGACTAGGACAAGTGATCATGCACATCATCTAAGGGGAGGAAAATGTCTTTCCCTTAGATCTCATGAGATTACAGATGAGATTACCCAATAATGCACTGCTGATGTAACCTTCCCAGCATGCAACGCTTGGGTATCATTACATTATTTGCCCCAAAGTGGACCAGGAAGTAGTTGTACTAACAACTAAGGCCCTGTTAGTACAGTGCGGTAATTCAAGAGTTAGAATGTGCTTCCTGAAGGGGACATCAGAATGACAACCATCAGTAGGCTGGACCGTACAGAGGGACAAAGTATTCATTTGGAAGAGATCTCTTCTCTTCCTGGACAGGGATATTCTTTTACTGCTGTAGACCAAGGCGACCTTGATGTAGTGACTTTGGTCACTGATGAAGTCTCTTCTCCACCGGAAGGCCTCTCATTCTCTATTTTGTACCTTTTCAGGTTATGACTGTAACTTCTAGCTCCATGCCCTTCCTTACCTTACATAGAGGAAAATTCATTTTGATACCTCAGCCTTCCTCCTACCTGCAGTGGTTGCCTCGTTTTACCTCAGTGAGGACATATTGCTTTCATTCCTATGTCTGTCACCTTCTCATCTGCAGTAGATTTCACACACTAGATGTGGTGAGGGCTGTCAGAATTTATCTGACGGCTGCAGTTCCCCTCTAGAAGATAGACTGTCATCCTGCATTGTCCTGATAAGGGGTCCCTGGCTTTCAGTGCTTTCTAGATAGATTAGCAGGGCCATTATCAGGCTTATCCTGTAAAGGTATAGGTCCCTCTGTTCCTTGTCACCATTTGTTCTGCAAGGGCAGTGAGCGTCTCCTGAACCTTTTGGCACAAGGCATCCATCTCTCAAGTATGCAAAGCTGCTACATAGAGTTCTCTCCACATATTTGCTAGCTTTTATTGTGTGGACATGGCGGCATTAGAGGATGCTAGCTTTTAGATGTAAGGTTCTTGTGTTGGCAGTGTAAATCAAGCTAATATTCTTAAAAGGTTTCCATGGCGCTTGTTGTTCTGTTTCTTGCCTGCCTCTATTTGTAAATTCTTGTGGATGCCCCATACCTAGAAGAAGAGTCCTGTGTTTCCCAGTGACTGCTGTAAGAAGCATTTTCTCTAGTAATTCATTGTGGAAAAAGCTCCTTCCCTCATGTGGTTTTATATTTGCATTGTAGGCCTGTTGTCACAATTATTTTGCCTGGAAGGTTACCTTCCATTTCCATGGTTTTCTCACTGCTTGTGCTGAACATGCAGGGTTAGAGCCACAAGATGTGACCATGCCCTTTCTGCTTTACATAGCATGAAACTTCCCAGGAGCAGCATCTGTACCCATATGCAGAAGTATTGAGTCCTGTCTCCAATGTACTGCTACAGAAAGGGACTTCATGGGGAGTACAACCAGACAAGTTATGGTGATCTTGGCTAAAAGGAACCCAAGGGCTCCCCACTTAATTGTGGTTTATTCTAAAACGAAAGTGGACATTTACCCCCCTTTTGACTAAAAGTCACATCAGTATACAGTTTTGCATGCTGATATGAAATCATCTTACATTCATTAGCTAAACAAACACATTTTTATTCTACTTACAATTTTTTTTTCACTTCCTGGTCCACTTTGGCACAAATTATGTAATCGTGCCCAAGCACTGTATCCTGGGAAGGTTACATCAGCAGTCCATGGTTGGGAAATCTCATCTGTAATCTCTTGAAATCTCAGGGAAAGGCATTTTCTACCCCTGAGATGATGTGCATGGTCACATGTCCTAGTCACATGTGCCAGAGTTCCAGGAAGTAAAGGGAGATATAATAACCTGCCCTTAGTTAAAATGGTCACTGTGGGAAGAATGGGGAGGAAAAAAATATAAAGTATGCAAAGAATAAAAAGCCTGCAATTATCTAGTAGTATCTGTTTGTAGATTACCATAACTAAACTTTAAAAAAAAATAAAAAATTTTGAGTTTTCATAAGTATGAGTAGACAATCAGTAGGTTAAATCTTCTCAAACATGAGAATGGTATACAAGTCAGAACTAGTACAATTTTGGTACAAAAGATAGAACATAATAAAATAAAACAAGACATACTGAACCAGGACAGCGTTAGAAAAAGAATTCCAATGTATGGATGAATATACACATCTCTATGTTTTCTACCATGTTGATGTCATATACCAAGTGGTCCAGGGCAGCCAGAGCTTATCGAACTTGGTAAGACTAGAGTGGCGGTGTGCCAGAATCCGTTCATAGTTGTAGTGTATATGAACCGATTTTAACACTTCACCGATTTTAGGTGATGCAACAGATTTCCAATTCCTCGTTATCATCAATTTAGCCACTAACAACACATGAGTAGTCACCACATGGTAAGGGGAAGGCACACTTTCTATTCCCAAATTCAAAAGGGTTTGTGGGATAAACTTATTCCCAGGATTTGACTGAGAATTTGGAAAATTGTACTCCAATAAGGAGTAGACCAGAACACATGGAGTAACATAGCAACTTGATTACAAGTTGGAGGTGGTTGCAGAGAATTTGGCAAATCTGTACGGAGATAACTAAACATTTTAAAGGAGCTTTTTTTGTTATTAAGAATAAGGGTACAGTTCTTTCAGTTTTATTCTAAACAACATGCTGCCCTGATTGCAGCCAATTACATGAAACGCCTTTTTTATTCAGTTTTTTTGCTAAATTTTTTCCCCAATTTAGGCACTTCTTCTTGCTCATGATAAAGTGGCAGAGCAGGAAATGATGCCAGAGTCCGTTCCGGAAGATACGTTTTATGAAAACATCGGGCAATATGGAGACGAGATGGTTAAGATTGTAAGAATAGAAAAGGCGAAAGATATACCACTGGTAAGAAAAAAATCATATACAGAAAATTTAGGTATTGAAACATATATACAAAAGTTCTTAAAATATGGTTTTATTTTAAGTATGTGATTTGACCTGCTTTTTTAAATGTGTAGTTATTATAATACTTTTATATTAAAAATCTGTTTAAGATGCACACGAGTTACAGCAGAAATTGAAATGTATACAGCAGACCCAGCCTACCTACCCACTAAATACCATCAAGGTGTTTCCCTAGTGCTCTTTGCCAAACCACTGCAGAAAAAGACCCAGTTTCCATTTTACTGGTGTTATAGGAATTCAATGTTTTCCTCCCCTGAATGGTCAGCAGTGTATATACCTGAGCAAATATATTCTAAAAATTGACATCCATAGGGCACTGACGCGTAAAGCAGAGGGACCCTCTCGGGACATTATTGTAAAATTTCATTATTTTAGAACCAAGGAGCACCTGCTCCAGATGGCAAAGGGGAAAGAATCTTTGGCCTGTGAGGGCTTTATCAGCTTTTCACTGATCTTGCACCAACAACAATTCAGAAGCGGAGGAACTTCAAGGTGTTTGTGATCGCTTTACAGAAGCATCAAGATCACTACCGGTGGGGTTTGCCATTTAAGCTTTGTTTTTCGTATAATGGCAAACAATATTCACCAACATCAATGGAGGGAGGCAGCAACTGTTTGCCCCAATCAAATGTGTTATATAAGCAGAATTTATTCCATTCTGAAGAGTTGCAAAAGTAGAAGGATAAACCCCAGGGTGTAGATCAAGCACAGAGAAGTGGGAAACAAAAGAATAGGTGCAATCAAAAGCTCCTTATTATGTTGATACAGGATGATGCTAGAACTTCCCTTTTGTACCAGGAAGAGGAGAGTAGGGGAGGGAAAAAGAGGATAAAGTTGAAGGTGTTAATATGATCAATAAATACAAAAAATATTTTGTAGTTTTTCTATTGATGTGCTTGGCCTGACTATTAGGTGCTAGCAAATTGTGAAAGGAAATTTAAAGATTGCAGACCAGGCGGGTCATGATGGCTATAGAAGTGTATTGTGCCTTGATGTTCTCTTCTCTCTTTTTCCCCTTGCCTTTTTCCTATCCTTTGTTGTATGCGTTAAACATATTGGAAATATGGTTGTCATGTATTAGAGGAAATAGGGGATTTTGGGTCAAAATTGCTTAGTGTGTTAAGAGGTAATTATTTAATTTGTGAATTTGTGTCTACCCCCTCCCTTTTTTCTTGTTTTTCATTGCATGGGTAAATATTTATATACAGTGATCTTCAGGCTGGACTGAACGCTGTGATTTCTGAACGTTTTATTATTTGCAGAGGTACCAGACAGGGTTCCCCTTTGTCACCGTTGTATGCGCTAGCGATTGAACCCCTGGCACCACAAATTAGAATTCGGTCGGACGTTCCTGGCCTGAGGATTGGTTCGCTAAATTAAAACATATCTCTCTATGCAGACGATATGTTATTATAGGTAGATAATTCGGCTGACGTACTGCTGAGATTGTTTAACTTGATTAATGGATTTTCCAGACTCGCCATCAATTGGGACAAATCAATCATATTTCTGATAGACCCTCTAGTCTTTTAGGCTGTGCTTGATAATCTTCCTCTTCAGATAGGGAATACATTTACCGGGTTATTCACAAAAGGGTGAATATTTTGGAGAAGACAAGTCATCAAGTGAAGATTCTCGGCCAAAAAAGCTAAACTGGAAAGTAAGCCTAATTGGAGAATTTTTCCAAATCAGCTGTTTTGGCCTAGATTGTTCACTTCTCCTGCCTTCTTCAAACTCTTCACCCTTTTGTGAATAACCCTGTTGGATATCTGGGTGTAGACGTGCAACTCCCTTTACAAACGTATCCAACAATCTCCATCCTATAATTGAGTGTTTCAAAGGGGCTGTTGCGTCTTGCTCCAAGCTACCTCTCAGTTTGTTGGGGCGTGTAAATTTGTTTAAAATGTTTTATCTCCCCCGTTTTTTATATATCTTTTTGAATTCTACGACACTAATTATGTGTAAAATTTTCAGTGAAATATCTGCAATTACTTTTGCACGATATTCTAATTATTCGAGCTTCACCTGTAGTTACCTGTCAGTGGTGGTGGTGGTCTGGCCCTTCCAAATTTATATTTCTGTTATGTAGCCCCTCAGCTTACCCATGTTCACTGATGGATGTGCCCTCAGTTTCCCAATACAGCCTCGTCAGTGGACGCAGCCATTTTATCGTCATTCAAATCTTTAACCAATGCCTTTTACAGGGGAACATTGTCTCCAGTTCCAGGTACTGGCACCGTACAGGTTTTTCAAACTTATCAAATGGTATGTTAGAACATTTGTACCAGCCTCTGCCCCCTTTTCTCCAAATTCACCATTGTGGTTTAACCGCTGGTCTCTGCTGGAATTCCTACACTTACCGGATCAATTACTGTGGGCGAGGGCTGGTATCAAATATCTGCACCCTATATCTGATGAGTTCAGGAGTGAATTTACCATAAATGCCGATGTGTGCCTAAAGTTAACATCCCTGGGCGCTGAGGACTGAAAACATTTCTAAAGACATCAATCAGGAGCCACCTTCTCTACTGCTCTTTCTTTGACCAACCGAAGCCTCAGAAACACCTCATTCATGACATGGTAAACTACCAGTGTCTGGAAAGGTGTTAGACTAGTTTCTCTTCAATGCGTCAAGTTGTTTCATCCTGTGCTCTCTCTGGGAGGGCAGGTTGAGCTCTGCAACTTTACGCTTGTAACGTGGATCGAGAAGGGTTGTCAGCCAGTAATGAACGCTCTCCTTGATACCACAAATCCTGGGTCGTTTTGCAGACTTTGCAGAATAAGGAAGCCCATGCACTGTAAGTTTGAGGAGGCATGAGAATCAGAGTCTTCAGGGTCACTCAGGGTCTCACTAACGTCCACTACCTCTTCCCAGCCACGTACTACTCCTTGGGTTTCTGGGGACAGAAAACCCTCCCTTGAGGACTGCTGTATGCCATCCTCTGCTTCAATGCCCCCACGACTGCCATAATCCTCCTCCTCCTCCTCTTGTGTGTTCTGCAGACCGGCAGGAATGGTTTCTGCGTAAAGGGGGCCTTGAGAGGAAAGGAAGCCCTCTTCCTCCTGCTGTTCTGCCTCAAGTGCCCTATCCATAATTCCCCACAGGGTATGCTCCAGTAGTAACACAAGAGGGGTAGTGTCACTGATGCATGCATTGTCACAGCTCACCATCCTTGTCGCCTCCTCAAATGGTGACAGTACAGTGCGTGCATCCTTTTATTAGCAGCCACTAACGTGGGGAAAAGGCCAAGGTCCCCTGAGCCTGTCCTTGTGCCATACTCACACAGGTACTCGTTGATGGCCCTCTGCTGCGTGTGCAGCCGCTGCAGCATTGCCAAAGTGGAGTTCCACCTGGTGGGCATGTCACAAATCGGACAGTTTGTGGGCAGGTGGAATTCGCATTGAATTTCAGCCAGACGAACACTGGCTGGGTATGAGCGCCTGAAATGGCTACAGACTTTTCTGGCTGCCTCAGAAGATCTTGCAGCCCTGGGTACCTGGGCTGCACCACCAAATTGAGGACGTGTGCCAAGCATGATGCATGTGTCAACTTTCCCAGGTGTAGGGAGGAGTGAAAGTTGCTGCCCGTTGTGTAGCCCGTTGAATGCTTAGGGAGAACTGCTGGTTCACAGGAAAATTCAGCAGAAGAGGCTATCGTGGAGGACAAAGAGGAGGGGGTGGAGCAGACAGATCTCCTATCATCAGCTTTTTGGAGGTGTGGTGGCTGAACAAGTTCCAGCATGAGCCCGGTCTGGCATTTTCCCAGCTGCAAGCAGAGTTTTCCAGTGTGCCATGAAGGAAACATAACGTCCCTGACCATGCTTGCTGGACCATGTGTCAGCAGTAATGTGGACCTTGCTGCTGACTATCTTGTCCAACGAGGCCAAAGCATTGCCTTCCACATGATGATTCAGAGCTGGAATGGCCTTACGTGAAAATAAATTGTGTTTGGGAACCTGCCACTGTGGTACAGCACATTCTGCAAACTCACCAGATGGAACGGCAGCAGTTTTAAAGCTAGCAAATTGGCCAAGCTGGCATTTAGACGCTGAGCAAGCGGATGGGTGGGACTTTTTTTTTTTTCCCCGCTGCAGCTGAGGCAGCAAAATTTGACTGGTCAAATCTACAGCTGGTGGACTGCTGGCAAATTTGGCAGAAGGACCTGTGACACCCATTGCTATACCATCATCCCTCTCAGTGGAGGCTGTTGATGTATAGTGGGGGTAGAGATGAGGAGCGAGGAGAGGTGTGGACCTTTTTCTGTGCTCTTGCCAACTGGCTGCGTGGCAGGTGGCCAGATGTCTCTTCATGCACGTGGTACCCAAGCGGTTGATGTTTTTGCCATGCTTGAGACATAGATTGCAAATAACAATGCTGCGGTCTGCTGCAGATATGCTGAAAAACTCCCACACATCTGAGTTCCTGGAAGACAACAGCACCCTGCACCTGTGCAACTCTGCCGTCTGATGCAATAGGGTAGCTGCTCTTACAGCTGCTATGACTGAGTGCTATAGTAGACTGCTATAATAGACTGCTATGACTGACCGCACTAGTAGACTGCTGTGAGGAACGCTGATAGTAATAAACTCTCTCTCTTAACTCCAGCAACACACTACATAGGGCTGCGGTGTAAGCAGCCTTATATAGTGTGCTGCTGGGACTTAGCACTGAGCCATGATTGGGCAAAGTCATCGTGCCTTTACCCAATCATGGCTCTCACAGTTATCTGTGACCTGATTGGGCAAAGTCTTGCACCTGACCTGTGCCAATTATGGCTACAGAAGGTGCATTGCCTTGTGTGGCACTCAGCAGGCAAATAGCCAGCGGAACGCCCTAATAGTTCGTGTGTTCAGCGAACACATGAACTAGCGATGTTTGAGCCCAACTCTAATCTCGACATCCCAGGATGAGACGTGGTGCCTAGCTCTGCCGCTGGCCATGGCAAGATGGCTCCTGTGTTATACTCCAGGAGGGCTGCACTTTGGTGGTGACAAGAAGCTTGCATGTCTGATTGACACATCTTCCCCCCACTGTAGGTACAACCCTAATTCCAAAAAAAGTTTTGACGCTGTTTTAAAATCTACATAAACACATAATGCAATGATTTGCCAATCTCATAAACCCATAAAATAGATAACATATCAAATGTTTAAACTTAGAAGATGTAATAATTTAAGGAAAAAATAAGGTAATTTTGAAATTGATGGCAGGAACACATCTCAAAAAAATTGTGACAGGGCAACAAAAAGCTGGCAAAGTGGTACTAACAAAGAAGAGCTGTAAGAACATTTTGCAACTAACTAGGTTAATTGGCAACAGGTCAGTAACATGCTTGGGTATAAAAAGAGAGAGTTAGAGAGTTAGTGCCTCAGAAGTAAAGATGGGTACAGGTTCACCAATCTGGTCGAAGCTGAACAATTTCAGAATAATGTTCCTCAATGTATAATTGCAAAGTCTTTAAATATATCATCTACAGTACATAATATCATTAAAAGATTCAGAGAATCTGGAGAAATCTCTGTGCACAAGGGACAAGGATGAAACACAATATTAGATGCCTATGGCCTGCGCAGGCCCTCAGACAGCACTGCATTTAAAACAGTGATAGACATCACTGTATGGGCTCAGGAATACTTCTAAAAATCACTGTCTATGAACACAGTTTGCCGTGCTATCCAAATATGTGGGCCAAAACTCATTTAAAATAGTCTGTCGCAAAGTGAAAAACTGTCCTGTGGTTTTGGCAACCGTGGGCACCGCATCCTCCGGACTGAAGAGGAGAGAGACCTTCCCGCTTGTTATAAGCGCTCAGTTCAAAAGCCTGTATTTCTGATGGTATGGGGGTGCATATGGAATGGGCAATTTGCACATCTGGAAAGGCAACATCAATGCTGAAAGATATCCAGGTTTTAGAGCAGCATATGCTCCCATCCAGAGGATGTCTTTTTCAAGGAAGGCCTTGCATATGTCGGCAGGACAATGCTAAACCGCATACTGCATCTGTGACAACTGCATGGCTTCGTAGTAGAGGAGTCCGGGTGCTTAACTAGCCTGCCTGCAGTCCGAAACTTTCACCAATTAAAAATATGTGGCACATCCTAAAACTTAAAATACGACAAAGAAGACCCACGACTGTTGAGCAGTTACAATCCTATGTCAGGCAACATTTCTCTCTCATAACTCCAGCAACTGGTCTCCACAGTTCCCAGACATTTACAGAGTGTTGTTAAAAGAAGAGGGGCTGCTACATCGTGGTAAACATGGCCCTGTCCCAACTTTTTTGAGATGTGTTACTGCCATCAATTTCAAAATTACCTTTTTCTTTTTTCTTAAAATGTTACATTTTCTCATTTTAAACATTTGATATGTTTTCTATTGTCTATTGTGAATAAAACATGGGTTTTTGAGATTTGCAAATCATTGCATTGTCTTTTTATGTAGCTTTTACAGTGTAACTTTTTGGGAATTGGGTTTGTACTTGCACTTACTGTTAAAGCACACCTTATATCAAAACACAAGCTCATCTTATTTATTAGTGATACCTCCCTCCTATCAATGTAAAAATGACTCCTTTCAATTTACCAAAAAAACACCTGAGAAGTAAGGTTTATAGATATACAGTATACCTGTGCATACCTTTTTTATTACCTGGTTTTTGTCTGCAATGCTTAGGATAGGTTGAGGTCACTGGCCTGGTTATACATAGGATCCCGAATCTTGCAAAGAGACACTCCAGTAGAGTGCAGGTCTGCTTTCCGTGTCATCATGAGCTTTTAAACTAGAGATGTTCTAGTATGCAAATTCTACCTAATGCTGATGAAGTCAAGTATTGGATAGTTCTTCCTATACTCTATATTTAGGTCAAGAATGCAGCCCATCACAGGGATGGACTAATATTGAGGTGCAAGAACAGACAGGTCAACTCATGAAGATTTATAAAGGTATATGCAGACCAGACATCTGGTGGCATGCATTTTAGTCCCGTCAGCAGTTTAGGCCTAGTGGTTAGCACTTCTGCCTTGCAGCGTGGGGGTTCCTGTTTCCAATCCCGGTCAGGTCACTATCTGAAAAGAGTTTGCATGTTCTCCCTGTGCTTGTGTGGGTTTCCTCTCACACTCTAAAATACATGCTGGTAGGTTAATTGGCTCCTGTCTAACTTGGCCCTTGCATGTGATATAGGAACTTCAGCTTGCAAGCTCCTTGAGGACAGGGACAGATGTGAATGTGCAACTATGTAAAGCGCTGCAAAAATTCTTGGCGCTATACAAATACCTGAAATAAATTAACAAACTAATTTTCACAGACAACAGGTTTACTTTAACCATTATCTGTAGTACACTTCCAATGTTAATACATTTTCATTCTTAGGCTAGCTTATTTCTTGCAGGGGGCCACAGTACGGAATGAACTAGACTCTGTCATCATCAGCCGAATAGTCAAAGGAGGTGCAGCTGAAAAGAGTGGGCTTTTGCATGAAGGAGATGAAATTTTGGAAATAAATGGTATTGAAATTCGAGGAAAAGATGTCAATGATGTTTTTGAGCTACTGGTAAGTTTGAAATTAATCTGAATGAATTCTAGGGATGCACAGATACCAAGTATTGTACTTGGTACAAGTACTGATACTTTTCCAGCTCCAAAACTAGACTAGAGAGAAACTCAAAAGTTAGAAGGCAGCTGTCATTTTTAAAGAGCATTGGCTAGAGGGCTCCTGGGATTTGTGTTCCCCTGTTTTAATGTATAATTCGTTATATATTAGAAATGCACTGATACCATTTTTTCCAGACCACCTACAAGTGCTGATACACGTCCAAGTACTCACAGATACCAATTACTGATTCCTTTTGTTTTGTTTTCTTATTGTCATTGGACAGTTTTTCTGAAACAAATACAGACTAATGATTTCAGGACAGTGGTGGAGCGCCAGGGCCCAGTCACCGCTGCAACCCTGGTAGTTCTCGTGAAAATGCCAAGTATTAGCACTGGTATCTGTGCATCCAATTAATTCAATAGGTTAAGGTTTTGCTATTTGAATGAGAAACCTGTAACAAATTTAAAATGGGTGTTATCCCAATTTGGCTGCTTTAAAGTTTGTCTGAAGACATATTTTGTTTGCATTGAAGAGAGTGGGGAGATGTTAAAGATTGTTGTATTGATGAGATTGATTTTTGTGTGTGTGTGTGTGTGTGTGTGTGTGTGTGTGTGTGTGTGTGTGTGTGCGCGTGTGTGTGCGCTGGGGAGGTTTACTCCATTTGTCCTGCCAACCGTTGTCACTGGGACACAGAGCAATGGAGAATCCAAAATTGTACAGTTGTCACTAGAACAGGAATAAGGGGAGAAGCATTCCAAAGCAAGGAAAACATTTCAGGGGCAACTGTCTAAACGGGGGCAATTTACAATTATGTTGATTGCGTTACAGGAAGTGAATATAAATCTCCCCAGCAGGAGACCAATAATAAAGAAATCAGCTGTCCTAGTAAGCCTGTTCACTAAACAGCACGCTGTATTTTCTTGGTGGTAATTTGTGTGGTATGGAGCAACTCCTTTTTATTTATTTTGTGGTCCTTATTTTCCACTGGCTTCTTTGAAACCTTGTTACATACATAGGTTGAAAAAAGACACAAGTCCATTGAGTTCAAGTTATAGAGATATGAAAGAGGAAAAAAAAGCCTATACAGAATGCAGTGCCCCTCAGTTACCCACTGTTGATCCAGAGGCCAAAAAGAAAAACCCTATAAAGCATGGTTCAATTTGCTCCAACAGGGGAAAAAATGTTTCTTCCTGATCCCATAAGGCAATCGGATATTCCCTGGATCAACAATCTCTGGTGCTTAATAAACCTATAAGAACTCAATATTCAGTAATATTCTGTGCATTTAGGAATACACGCAGGTTTTTTTTGTGAAACAGTTAACTGAGCTAGCTAGAACTAGCTCCTGAGGGAGTCTGTTCCACATTGTCACAGCTCTAACTGTGAAGAGACCTTTCCGTATGCAAAGTTTAAACTCTTTTCCTCCGCACGCAAAGAGTGCCCCGTGTCCTTTGCAGTGACCTTAAAGTGAATTATTTGGCACCGAGCTCACTATATGGACCATATATCTATTTATACATAGTTATTATGCCCATGTTTTTTCTGCCATTTTGTACTGTTGTTGATTAGTGGGAATACTTGGTCTCTTCCTGTGAATCCCTTATTCAGATAGCTACTGCACAGCAAGTGGGATGGTGGTAGAGAGGGATCTCACCATTCTTTAAGTGCATTAACCATCCTTTTGTAAGGGTTACCACTGCATTTGGAAAGCCTATTCTCGATTTGAGCCTTTAAGTTTAAACCCTCTGACCTACTTGGAGGGCCAATTCCTGAGTTTCCTTCAGAGAGGTGTAGGTCAGCTTTTACCTCTGGCCACCACCTACTGACAAATCTCAGTCTTAGCAATACTGTTCCTGTTGCCTCTGGCTAACCACTGCTTGGTTTGAAACTCTGTGTATACCCGAAGTGTGCTGTCTATACTTGTCACTTACAAGCTTACCTGGGTTCTATAGTTAGTACGCACCCAAAATATCCCTAATAATGTATTGACATATAAACACTGTTTCAACCATGTAAACTGCTCAAACTTGTTTGTGTGGAGTTGGATAACCACCTACTGGCTTGTACCTTCCTTCAGAAGGTTACTTACATTGCTTCCCTGTAAAGCCTCCCCTTTCTGGATCTGGTCCTTACTGTCCAGAAGTCTCTTTTCAAACCCATTCAAAAGAGTAATTGGTTACCTTGACCCAGAAGGTTGCCTTACTTGTAGCCATTACTTCAGCAAGGAGGGTATCACAGCTGGGAGCCTTGTTCTACCGTTCCTCAATCTTTACAAGGAAAAAGTAGTCTTGTAAATATGGGTCGTGTGCTCTTTAAAACTTAGACGACGTTGTACTTCATTTTGTCCACCTCTGTTCCATCCCATGACAATTTCCCTTTACACACTTGATGTTGTAAGGGCTGTTAGAGTTGAGAGGAAGTTTGATTCTCTGTTCTTCATTCTGGATGACCCCTACAAAGGTGTTCCGGAGCCTAGTGCGACTATATCTAGATGAATTCAAATTTGTGTTATGGAAGGTTTTTTTTCTGCCTTCTGCTGTTACTCACTGCTTTTGCTACTACTAAGTTTGTATGCAGGCGCACAGGTAAAACAACTAGATATAGGGCTGTGCTTCTTTTGATTTGTATAGTGTACAAACTTCCTAAAGGCAGAAGCTATACCCACACATTGAAGAATGCAGTCCTTTGCCCTCCAATGAACTACCAGTGAAAAGCATTTTATGGCACCAAAAAAAGTTGTGTGGATGGTGGTTGGATTTTATGTATCACCAGGATTTTAGTGTTTGAGATCTTTCACAACAGTTTTTATGCCCACAGTTGAGGACATAACCATTCTTAGAAAGCTATCATTCTTTCTTGATCTCTTTTCTGCAATGAAGAAGATGATGCCTTTTTTATGGACCTTTTGAAGAGCTAAAAGATGCAATGTACTATGGATTAGAACTATTGGAGCCTCCTAAATATAAGATGGCTTGATTTAAACCACCAGAATGTGATAGCAATAAGTGAGCCCTGTTTCGGATTAAGACAGTTCTAGCCAGATTTTTTGCTTGTGTCATAAGTGAAATTGGTTCATATGGATGAATGTGGTAAATATTTTATCTGTTAATTTTTTGTGTGTTTTATACTAGGCTGAAATGCATGGGACATTGTCTTTTGTACTTATTCCAAGTCAACAGACAAAACCTCCGCCAGCAAGGGAAACTGTGGTAAGTTTTTCTTTTCATTGTGTGTGTTGAGTGTAGCTGTTATTAGAATTTTGTTTTACTATTGCTTATATTCCTGGTGCCCAATCTGCAGCCCCAAGGGCTACATGCAACCATGGTACTTGTGTGGCTCTTCAACCCCAGAAATCTATAGTCGGAGCATTGGTTTGAAAAGGGGTAATAGCATTGACCTCTACTAGCTTCATAGATCATCAGGGGTGTGGACATTTTTTTTTTACAAAACTTCTTATCCAAGGGCTAAAGCGGAGGTCCAATTTACTTGTCCCTCATGACAATCTACTTGTTTTGATACAAAAAATGATTTTAACCAAAACCCTATTTATCTATGCGAAAAAGCGCGTCTCATTGGTCAGCGTGGTCACCTGACCTGAGTCAAATTCGAAAATCTATAGCGCAGAGCTGTGCTGGACGGCAGTATGGGGTATGGATAGTACACCCGTACTGGCGGAGGGGGAAGGACCGTGCGCCGAAAAGCAAGTATAGCGCTGGGGGAGAGAATGTGGGGAGAGGGGGCCAGATTTGAGCGGGTTATTCAATTTTCCCAAATTACTTGCGAAAGTGAACTTACCCTTTAATGTGCATTGTGCGTGTTAAGAGAGCACTACTTAATCACATGCAGATGGCAGTTTTGTTTTGTTTTTTTGTAACTTCGTTATCTCATACTTTACATGTTTGAGGATTTTTAGGTCAAATGTATTGAGGGGTCTAAGGATGTGTTTGTGTAAAGGGAGACGAAGAGTGGGAGGAGCAGGGAAGGTAGGTAGGGGTTCCATTTTGTTATTGTAAAGCAGATAGGGTCTTTTTAAAAGATTGGAGAAGGGACACGATAAATAATAAAATAGAGGCGTTTGGGGGGGAAAGTAAGAATAAGAAAGGTGAGAAGAGGAAAGGTTAGTTTGATAGAAGGGAAATGTGGTGTAAGGCACATATTCTACGGTAGAGGCCCTAGTACTTTTTTTTATTCAGGGATGCTTTATCCATTATCAGGCAAAGGTATTGGACTCTTTTCAACATGTAGAGAAAAGTGCGAAAAACTGATACGATCTGATAAAGATGTTTCCCATGATCTAGCACCATTAAGCACAGCAGATGTGTATGCCATCTTTAGGGTCTTAGGGCAGCAGGTTCTGGTGGTGATTGGAATTAGTGTAATTTATCTAGGAAGCCAGGTCCAGCTTTTTTCCTATGCATATTGTCTGGGCAAGCTGTTTGCAGCATTGTTTTGCTAGGAAATAAACCAATGTGCGCATGGGAAGTGAGACAGAGAGGGGTAGGAAAGGAGCAGAGTTCTATAGTCCAGAAGACAAGGCTGAAAATGCTGCATGGAATTTCAGTGCTGCAAAGGCACTGTTCAGTCATCCCAAACAGTAAATTAGGAGCACACTAGATTTCTAGCAGATAAACAGGTATGCTTTATATTTGCAGCTTTTATAAAGGGATACAACTTAGGGAAATGTGCTTCATGTATTGCAGATATGTACTAAATACTGTTTTATGTTGCCTATTCATACAGTTTGTTTTAAGTTTCCATAAAGAGATTTTGGGTTGAGGGTCGACATTGTGTGTGTGTGTGTGTGTGTGTGTGTGTGTGTGTGTGTGTGTGTGTGCGCGTGTGTGTGCGCTGGGGAGGTTTACTCCATTTGTCCTGCCAACCGTTGTCACTGGGACACAGAGCAATGGAGAATCCAAAATTGTACAGTTGTCACTAGAACAGGAATAAGGGGAGAAGCATTCCAAAGCAAGGAAAACATTTCAGGGGCAACTGTCTAAACGGGGGCAATTTTGTGTGTGTGTGTGTGTGTGTGTGTGTGCGCGTGTGTGTGCGCTGGGGAGGTTTACTCCATTTGTCCTGCCAACCGTTGTCACTGGGACACAGAGCAATGGAGAATCCAAAATTGTACAGTTGTCACTAGAACAGGAATAAGGGGAGAAGCATTCCAAAGCAAGGAAAACATTTCAGGGGCAACTGTCTAAACGGGGGCAATTTACAATTATGTTGATTGCGTTACAGGAAGTGAATATAAATCTCCCCAGCAGGAGACCAATAATAAAGAAATCAGCTGTCCTAGTAAGCCTGTTCACTAAACAGCACGCTGTATTTTCTTGGTGGTAATTTGTGTGGTATGGAGCAACTCCTTTTTATTTATTTTGTGGTCCTTATTTTCCACTGGCTTCTTTGAAACCTTGTTACATACATAGGTTGAAAAAAGACACAAGTCCATTGAGTTCAAGTTATAGAGATATGAAAGAGGAAAAAAAAGCCTATACAGAATGCAGTGCCCCTCAGTTACCCACTGTTGATCCAGAGGCCAAAAAGAAAAACCCTATAAAGCATGGTTCAATTTGCTCCAACAGGGGAAAAAATGTTTCTTCCTGATCCCATAAGGCAATCGGATATTCCCTGGATCAACAATCTCTGGTGCTTAATAAACCTATAAGAACTCAATATTCAGTAATATTCTGTGCATTTAGGAATACACGCAGGTTTTTTTTGTGAAACAGTTAACTGAGCTAGCTAGAACTAGCTCCTGAGGGAGTCTGTTCCACATTGTCACAGCTCTAACTGTGAAGAGACCTTTCCGTATGCAAAGTTTAAACTCTTTTCCTCCGCACGCAAAGAGTGCCCCGTGTCCTTTGCAGTGACCTTAAAGTGAATTATTTGGCACCGAGCTCACTATATGGACCATATATCTATTTATACATAGTTATTATGCCCATGTTTTTTCTGCCATTTTGTACTGTTGTTGATTAGTGGGAATACTTGGTCTCTTCCTGTGAATCCCTTATTCAGATAGCTACTGCACAGCAAGTGGGATGGTGGTAGAGAGGGATCTCACCATTCTTTAAGTGCATTAACCATCCTTTTGTAAGGGTTACCACTGCATTTGGAAAGCCTATTCTCGATTTGAGCCTTTAAGTTTAAACCCTCTGACCTACTTGGAGGGCCAATTCCTGAGTTTCCTTCAGAGAGGTGTAGGTCAGCTTTTACCTCTGGCCACCACCTACTGACAAATCTCAGTCTTAGCAATACTGTTCCTGTTGCCTCTGGCTAACCACTGCTTGGTTTGAAACTCTGTGTATACCCGAAGTGTGCTGTCTATACTTGTCACTTACAAGCTTACCTGGGTTCTATAGTTAGTACGCACCCAAAATATCCCTAATAATGTATTGACATATAAACACTGTTTCAACCATGTAAACTGCTCAAACTTGTTTGTGTGGAGTTGGATAACCACCTACTGGCTTGTACCTTCCTTCAGAAGGTTACTTACATTGCTTCCCTGTAAAGCCTCCCCTTTCTGGATCTGGTCCTTACTGTCCAGAAGTCTCTTTTCAAACCCATTCAAAAGAGTAATTGGTTACCTTGACCCAGAAGGTTGCCTTACTTGTAGCCATTACTTCAGCAAGGAGGGTATCACAGCTGGGAGCCTTGTTCTACCGTTCCTCAATCTTTACAAGGAAAAAGTAGTCTTGTAAATATGGGTCGTGTGCTCTTTAAAACTTAGACGACGTTGTACTTCATTTTGTCCACCTCTGTTCCATCCCATGACAATTTCCCTTTACACACTTGATGTTGTAAGGGCTGTTAGAGTTGAGAGGAAGTTTGATTCTCTGTTCTTCATTCTGGATGACCCCTACAAAGGTGTTCCGGAGCCTAGTGCGACTATATCTAGATGAATTCAAATTTGTGTTATGGAAGGTTTTTTTTCTGCCTTCTGCTGTTACTCACTGCTTTTGCTACTACTAAGTTTGTATGCAGGCGCACAGGTAAAACAACTAGATATAGGGCTGTGCTTCTTTTGATTTGTATAGTGTACAAACTTCCTAAAGGCAGAAGCTATACCCACACATTGAAGAATGCAGTCCTTTGCCCTCCAATGAACTACCAGTGAAAAGCATTTTATGGCACCAAAAAAAGTTGTGTGGATGGTGGTTGGATTTTATGTATCACCAGGATTTTAGTGTTTGAGATCTTTCACAACAGTTTTTATGCCCACAGTTGAGGACATAACCATTCTTAGAAAGCTATCATTCTTTCTTGATCTCTTTTCTGCAATGAAGAAGATGATGCCTTTTTTATGGACCTTTTGAAGAGCTAAAAGATGCAATGTACTATGGATTAGAACTATTGGAGCCTCCTAAATATAAGATGGCTTGATTTAAACCACCAGAATGTGATAGCAATAAGTGAGCCCTGTTTCGGATTAAGACAGTTCTAGCCAGATTTTTTGCTTGTGTCATAAGTGAAATTGGTTCATATGGATGAATGTGGTAAATATTTTATCTGTTAATTTTTTGTGTGTTTTATACTAGGCTGAAATGCATGGGACATTGTCTTTTGTACTTATTCCAAGTCAACAGACAAAACCTCCGCCAGCAAGGGAAACTGTGGTAAGTTTTTCTTTTCATTGTGTGTGTTGAGTGTAGCTGTTATTAGAATTTTGTTTTACTATTGCTTATATTCCTGGTGCCCAATCTGCAGCCCCAAGGGCTACATGCAACCATGGTACTTGTGTGGCTCTTCAACCCCAGAAATCTATAGTCGGAGCATTGGTTTGAAAAGGGGTAATAGCATTGACCTCTACTAGCTTCATAGATCATCAGGGGTGTGGACATTTTTTTTTTACAAAACTTCTTATCCAAGGGCTAAAGCGGAGGTCCAATTTACTTGTCCCTCATGACAATCTACTTGTTTTGATACAAAAAATGATTTTAACCAAAACCCTATTTATCTATGCGAAAAAGCGCGTCTCATTGGTCAGCGTGGTCACCTGACCTGAGTCAAATTCGAAAATCTATAGCGCAGAGCTGTGCTGGACGGCAGTATGGGGTATGGATAGTACACCCGTACTGGCGGAGGGGGAAGGACCGTGCGCCGAAAAGCAAGTATAGCGCTGGGGGAGAGAATGTGGGGAGAGGGGGCCAGATTTGAGCGGGTTATTCAATTTTCCCAAATTACTTGCGAAAGTGAACTTACCCTT